TGCTGGAAAGCCTAAACCCTAAACCCTAAACCCTAAACCCTAAACCCTAAACCCTAAACCCTAAACCCTAAACCCTAAACCCTAAACCCTAAACCCTAAACCCTAAAACCTGGCCTAAACCCTAAACCCTAAACCCTAAACCCTAAACCCTAAACCCTAAACCCTAAACCCTAAACCCTAAACCCTAAACCCTAAACCCTAAACCCTAAACCCTAAACCCTAAACCCTAAACCCTAAACCCTAAAAACCCTAAAACCCTAAAAACCCTAAAAACCCTAAACCCTAAACCCTAAACCCTAAAACCCTAAACCCTAAACCCTAAACCCTAAACCCTAAACCCTAAACCCTAAACCTGGCTAAGTTGCAAAAGCATTATATTTAGCTAGAATGCACTTATGTAGCTATGTACTATTATCTTGCTTAAAGATAGATTTTTTATGTGGCTAAAAATTATTGGTATTTTCCTAAGACTAACAATTGATTTTTTTCAATAAATACTGATATATCTTAATGTCATATGTAAAAGAATAAAATAAAATAAAAATTATTAAAAAAAAAATCTCTTTTTATATTGTATTATCCTAAATTATAAAATGATATGTTATTAAGTTAGAATGGTTTAAAATCACAAAATTCTAACTTATTTAACAAAAAATTAATCAAATCTAATATCCATTTTTTACTTGTACATAAAAAAATTATAAAAAAAAAATTATTTATATACATGATGGTTTTAATTTTTTTATTAAATTTTAGTTTAAAATCATCTTATTTCCAATCTTTTAAGTAATATTGGTCTTTTAATTTTAATAATAGATACTTTATTAATCTTTAATATTAAGAATATTTTTTATTAATTACATGAATCAATCTATTATAAAAACAATTATTATTATTATTTACATCATCACATATTTAAATTGATGTAGATAATAATTTAAACATTTAAATTATAAATATCATTGTAATATTAAATTTATAATAAAATTTATTTTTTAATTTATTTTTTAAACTTTTCTTTAGAAATTTATTACTTTTTACTATATAAAATTTCAAAATCTAAAATAGATTTTTTATAATTTCTAATCTTAAATAATTTCTATTCTATAAAATAATTTATAAATTTAATTACACAAATAAAAAAAACTTCCAAACAAGAAAAAATACACTTTCAAATATTTGCAACAAAGATGAAATATCATAAAATAATTTTAAAACATTTTTTTAAAAAATTCTTGATTAGAACATTCAAGTCTTACACTTGAAGTATAAAATCAACACAATAAATTGATTTTAATAGACATTAAAATTTTAAAAAATAAAAATAAAAAAAATAAAAAAAACAAAAACAAAAATAAAGAAGTAAAATTTCAAATATATTATAAAATTTAGATAATTATAATTTTTAATTTTGAAATAAAATTTTCATATTTCTTAGTAACAATTTTGAAATAGTTTCTAAAAAATAACTTTACAATATTTTTTTTCTAAAATTTCTTTGAATATTATATTTTATATGTCTAATTCTTTAAAAAATGCTTACTAAACAGAAGGTAGTTTTAAGAGCTAAATATAAATAACATATTATATTAGAATCATAAAAATTAATATATATATATATATATATATATTTATGTATAAATTAATCTTAAAAGTTATAAAAATAGTCATATTACCAAAAATATATTTATATTTATATTTAATAGAACCACCATAATTTTTTTAATATTTTATCAAATTGCATATTATAGTGCATACACATATAGTGGAAATCCAAATTATTAGATATTGCAATCTTTGGCACATCTACTTATTTCCTTGTTCATCCATGCTCTCTTGTTTCTATGTTTTGATGTTCCCATGTTTCCCAAGTTTCTTGTGTTTCTTGAGTTTTCTTCTTCACAACCAATCAAACAACTTCTTTGTCTCTATGTGTTATATCCAAGTTGTATTATATATATACAATATTATTATTAATTAAGTTTCAAAGAACATTCTAAAGAATTTAATCAAAATATTCTTCTAAAAATATTAAAAATAAATCAATCATTTATACCTAAACAATCTTTATTCTATAAATGATATAATCTAATTTGAATTTATTAAATTATTTATAGAATCTTTTTTACAATAAACTAAATATTTTGTTTATATATTATTTTAAAAATCTCTATGCATGTAAACTCAATCATATTTTAATATTATCATCACATTTTTATCACATTTTTTAATTTTCTCTATTCTAAAAATTAGAACAATAAACATATGTATGTAGACATTACAATTTTGATGCACAATATGATTATATAAAGAAAAAAAATTCTATTTACACTTATTTTCAACATCCTTACATATTATTTCTAAAATATTCATGGAATAAATTTAATTAATATGATTCTCAAAAATTATCTCCTTATCCAAAACTTTTAAAAATTCATTTACAGTACTACTTTCTACAAACTAAACTTTTAAATTTCTGAAATTTCAATGCAAACATATCTTTACATTGCTACTAGTTAAAGACTAAAAATTCAAACTCTAATGACAAACATGCACAAAATACAAATTTACATACTAAATTGTATCCTATTCCACATTTAGTGCACTGTATTGAGTATGTTTAATAATCAAACAAAAAATACATAAAGTTATCCCCGTCAAATTATGCAACCTTTTGACTTTTCTTCTTTGTGTACAAATTGCACAATTACTCAAAAAACTCAATAGATTACATATTGTCAAGCATGTAAATGTGCAACTACTGCTGGAACAACAACAACAACAACAACAACAAGTGTGGTCCAACAGAGAAGAATAGTGATTAGTTGTACGTGAGACGCTTTTTCATATGGATGACAACAGTAGCCATGCGTGGAAGGGAGAAACCTGGTACGAGTGGTTTTCAGCTATCGAGGCAAGCAAGCAACTGTGGATGAGGGAGGCCCCACTCCCCACACCTGGTTCTACATTTGCGTTAGGTCAACCGAGAATGAGAATGAGAAGGAGACTGACTAACAATTGGCCACCATCCCCCCTTGGATGAATGAATCATCGACGGAGTCATCCGCTGCAAACGCCTGGCTGTCTCCGCACCAGAATCCAGATCTAGCTGCTTCGGCAACCAGGTCTGGAGGCACACAAGTAGCAATTTGTCAATCTAAAACCCAGTCTTTCATACCCGCCTATACGGATATACTACCCCCCTGATATAGATATTAAATGTGCAGACTGAGGGACGATATCGGGTATTGTGCAGGGTAGAACCAACCGGGTATCGGAAATCTGCCCTTTTGGTGGTGGTGGAGGCCGCGTGGTGGGCAGAGAGAGGGAGAGACGGAGAGAGGCCAGTGAGGGGGCAGGCAATTGGGGTTTTGTGGGTGCGTGTTGTTCCTTCTTTCTCGAAATCGCATACTCAGTGTGAGCGCTGTGCCTGTGCTCTCTGTGGCTCTGCTTTAGGGTTCGTAGCGCCTCTGTCGTAGAACCTTTCTCCTTGCAGCAGCGATTCCATTCGATCGGCATGGCGTCCCTTATGCGCCAGCTGCAGTCTAAAGCGGCTGTGGCCACGGAGATCGCCACCAAGCGCGGCAGTGCTTATTACAAGCAGGTCATGGAAGAGAACAAGCAACATGTCGTCCATCCAGCCACAGTCGAGAAGTGTCAGGAGCTCTCTAAGCAACTCTTCTACACTCGCCTCGCTAGGTCTGCGACACCCTTTCTCTTTTCTGTACAGCTTCGGATTTCTCTTCTCTGATCTTCCTTGTTGATCCTTGTCGTTCATATTTTGTTGCCTCCTTGCCTTCTCTCCTCTTCTTTCTTTTTATTATTTACTCTGGTACTCTTTACATCATGGATGTGTCATATGTAACATTTTTTCAGTGAGGCCGTGATCTATTAAGTACCTATGTCTGCCTTCTTATTTGTCAATGTTAGTAGTCTCTTGTGAGTACAAGTTGTATTTATTCATATGTACCAAAGTTAATCGAGTGTTTGCAAATATTTTACTTCGTACGATGAATGTTTACCAAATCGAATTCCGACTCTTTGTTGGATTAAGATCTTGGCTTGCCAAGTTTATATTCTCAACTGTGGCTGACGTGCTAGTATATCTCGATTTATACGGGTATTTTGAGGTCGAATTGGAAACTAACTGGTGGTATGTGAATATCGTATGCCTGAATTTAGACCGAGATCATATGGATTAGCAAGCAGAAATGCACTAGACATTGTTCGCACTAGTGTATTGCAGTTTGATGTAGCATTTCGCGTTTTTATCAGAGTGTTTGATCGTGTATTTCTCTTTCTCTGTTGATGAAGTTTACCTGGGAGGTACGAGGCTTTTTGGAAGGAGGTGGACTTCGTCAAGCAGAAATTAGTGCAAAGGAATGACTTGAAGCTGGAAGAAGTTGGCATTGCGGCTTTGTTCGCAGGAGAGTGCTACGCATGGTTTTGTGTCGGGGAGATTGTGGGTCGAGGTGGCTCGATAACAGGTTACAAGGTTTAATTAGACATCCGTTGGTTGGGTGATCGACTACTGCGGATCACTACGTGAGGAAGTTAGGTGGTAATTATCTTTGTCTAAGCCGTCCTTTGTGTACTGCCCAATATTATCATGATTTTATGAAGGTGGACTAGGCTGGTGAGTTGCAGAGTTTGTGCTGATAGGGAAGCTGACTGGAGTTCACAACTTCTTTTCCATGTTTTTTCCTCCACATAACGAGGAACGAGTCAGTCAGTCAGCCTCCGCACTTCTGCAATTAAACTGTTCCCTTTTCTTTTCTTTTTTGTCTTTTTTCTTTTTTTCTTTTTTTTATGAATTTTTTATTCAACCTAAAGTTACAGTATTTCCTCCTCGTTTCCTCCTTGGCCTTGTGATAAGTTGTTTACACACAGGATATGCACCTCAATTTAGCACACGCGTCACATCGAATGATCGTTTTGGGATTTGGAGCTCTTCGTCCTAGTCTAAGTAAAACACTCTTTTAGTGGGAAAGAAATTTGAACACCTCCATATATTGCTTATGGCTTTTCCAATTGTATCGAGATTGTGGATGTGTACCGCTGCAATGTGAAAACTAATTTGTTATCATATACTGTCCAACAACTAAATATTTTAATATTGCATCCTTACAAGCTATAAAAGTCCTTTCAAAATACACACTAAATGGAATTTGTTGCTATTTGAGTGTATGAGATTTGAAGGGTTTCTTGTGATAAAAATAGATTGTGTTGGATGGTCGCATCAGGTGATCAATTAAAAATACAAGTCTGATGTAAAAAAAAAAAATCGAATTAGACAGTAAATAACTTTTATGTTTATAAATTATATAAAGTATAGTTTAAAGACATGACAACTAAGAGTATATTTTATACCACTAAGAATAATGTTTATAAAAAATACTGTGATTATACTTTTTCTCAATGATTATCTTTTTGAAATAGACTATTAGTTTTTATTTTAAATTTTTAATAAATCTAGAAAACCAAGGTCTAAATTATAAATTCATTTTTATATTATTGTGAGGTTGATTGTTTTATTTATAGAAGCCAGTATACACAAATAGTCTTTTAGAATCATTAATTATAATTGTATTAATACAATAGTTATCAAGTTAATTATTTCATAATTTACCAACTTAATGAATACATTGACTAGCATTACTCTAATTTTGATTGTAAATATATTTATAGAATTTTACCTTTTATCAGAAAGTAAAATCCTGTTAACACATGCCAAAAACGTGATGTTTAAAAGTGTAGATTCACTTTTGTGGTTAAATTTATTACAAATTTGACAAGTATCTTATTTTAACATTGAATTTTTATGAAAACAAATATTATAAATAAAAAATCTAACTAACTATATATATGTATATATACAAAAAAGTAAAGTTTTATATATGTGAGTCTCGTGTATTAGAGTAGTAAGGTTTTTATTGATTGTTATAAAAGAAAACAACTTTTCAAAGAAAAATGTATGTATATATAAATATATATAGTTACAAACTCTACATACAAAGTTTTAATTGAAAAAAGTTTTAAATTTATTTTATATGAGTTTGATAAATAAAAAATACATACATATATTCTTACAGCAAAGAATATGCTTTTTGTTATTTTACAAGTAAATATTTTAATCTACTATTATATAAGTTTCTATGAGAATGAACATAATAAGTTGCAATTGTTTAAAAATAATCAATAGATGAACAGTTTCAAAAACCATCATTTCATGCTGCACTTTTTTGACATCACACTCATTATAAAATAAAATAAATACTCGAACGTAAAATAAAAATACTTATTTTAAATACAATTTCAATACATAAAATCAAGATACAAATTATGGTTTAAAAGGTAAAATATTGACAATATAATAAAAATTATACATCAAGTATTATTTTTCTTCTTGTAAAAGAAATCATAAATATTAAAAATATTTTCAGATATATTTTGGAGCATAATCATTTGAAACAAAAAATCATATATATATATATATATACACACACATTCATATATTAGAATACTAGATGTGTATGTATGCAAATGTATTATTTTATAAACCTTTTTTTTTTTTTTAATAAATAAACTTATGAAAGTATGTTACAACTATCATAAAATATGGATTTAAAAATAAAATGAAATTAGACTGGTTAGAATTTGAAGTAAATAATATAATTATATAATTAATGTTAAAAAAATATAGCATGTTTGCATATATATATAAAATGAGCTGTTAATGCAACACCTCCATATTGTTAATGCAACGCCTTGAGGTAGGCACATGATTGTTGTGAATGCTGTCACAATAGAACACATGTCACTATTCATCCTTCCTCGCTTACTATACAAAGACGACAATGTTTGGCTTGTTTAAATATTCACTCATCCATTCATCATTTCTCTACCACATAAATATATATACATATATATATATATATATAAGGTATAAGAGATACTTTAAAAAGTTATAATGTTTTTCAATAAAAGTAATAGTAATAATAAGAAAAAAGGCATAATAATCAAAAAGATATTTTATTAGATAATTGTTAGTGTATGTTTGTCAAAATCTTATAAAATTTAAATGCATACCACACATATTAAACATATTATTTATGTAGATTTAGATATGTGATTTAATCTTATTTTTGTAATATGGATATTCATGTTTTTTTTTTTTTTTTTTTTTTTAATATTTTTTCTTTGGATTTTATGTGGTATTATCTGGTATTGTTTGTATAATTATTAATTTTATTGTTTATGTTTTAAGTCATTATTGTAGTAAATTTTAGTATACATTAGTATTTTGGTTTAATATTTTATTTCAGTATTTTACATTTAAAGCAAAGCAAGGGCCTCCAATGAAAAAATATATTTGTTTATATAAATGTTTATATATACATACATACTATAGATATTTATTTAAGCCACCCAAAATGTTTATTAAAAAATATTATATGTTCAAATTTATTTAAAAGGAAATTAAATTTTGAAATAAAAAATGATTATTGTGTATTTTTATATGTCCATTGTAAATTGTTTACTTCAAAAATATACAAAAAAAGATTCTAAATTTAGTAACAAATAAAACCTTGCACAATACTAATACTCTTGTTTAATTTGAACATGTACTAGCAAAAACCTAAAACTCCCTAACATTAAACAAATTTAATTAGACTTTATGAAATAGTGGCACATTTATATGTATTTGAGATATTTAATTCAATGAGAAACTTATTTGAAAGAATAGATAACTGAAAGAAAGAAAAAGAAAAAGAAAACCCATAAATCACTTTACTATTAATTATTTTGTAATTGAATAATTATTATATCATTTGTTGATGATTTATTCCAATCAATTTGTTGATGATTTATTTAAACCAATTTAATAAAGTACACTTATCACTCAATTAGTAACGTTTAATCTAATGTAGAACATTTATAAAAGTAATAATTAAGGTTTAGTATTTTGACTCAAATTCTAAAATGAAACACTGCATGATTTCCTAATTTGGTTGAAGTACAAATACATGTATATCACAACATACTGGTTTTTACCGGGTTTTCCTAAATGATTTTAAATTGACTTCAATTTGAGAAACTTAACACACTTCTGGTCATATTTTCATATAGAATACATACATTTGTTGATGAACAAATAATTCTATTTGAAGAAAGAATCACTTGGTGTGCACTGTGTACATCATGGACTTCTGTTATGATTGACCCTCTGCGGTTCAAAACAGGCAATCCTCTTCGCCATGATTCCCAACCTGCAGTGGTTGCTCTTGAAATTCTGACTCGCACTTCATTCAGGGTTTTGGAAATATTCGGTTTGTTTTCATTCACATGGGCAATGGAGAAGATTTGAGAATCCTCGCGAATCCGAACAACAACGTTGGGAAGCGAAATGTGCAACGATCCCTTTCAAAAGACCTCTGTCGAAGATGCATTGTTTCCAATTCCAGCAGTTCTCCTCGCATACGTCTATCCTTTCAAGTTCCACGCTGAGCTACAAGCAATACAATAGATGAGACAAAAATTTTACAAAATAGGCTCTACGATGAAATGTAGCTTCAACCGAGCATACATTGTTCCACTAGCTCCTCAGTTCTCCGTGGAAAACAATATTGGCAATTTAAGTACTGTAACGAGTGTAACATAATTTCACACTTCCCAATCAATCTTAGTCGCATAAGCGTGGTTTCGCACATTTGAAGAATATGAGAATGATTACAGTATGATCATCTAGAGCAGTCGCTATGCAAAGATTTTAAGGGCCAAGAAGATAATCGACTACCCTGCTGCTGTAATACTATAACTGACCACGGAGTTTCAGGGCCAATCTCTCTATGTTTCCTCCTAGCTTGTGGTTTATAAATAAGTAACCATGCCCTACCACGCATAACAGTAGTTTTCAAGCTTAATTGGGAACACAATCCCATGAACCGACATACCACTCTGAACAGAACAAAATGCGCAGCCATTCGTGCTCACTGTCTAGTGCCGGATCTCCAACCTCGGCAGGCGGGCACAGAGACATTGCTACGCCTCCTGCGATACGACCCCTCCTCCTCTAGGAAGACTTATGATCAAGTTGTTTCAACCTTTCTTCAACGGTGATAGGCCCATTGGCAACCTTGCTGGCCTTGCGGTCAGCAGAAGCCATGAGAATGCCAGCGAGGGTGCCCATGGCACACACCATAAGCAAGCGCATGGAGCGCTTGTCGGCAGACGCAGACATGGCACTTCCTTGACGAGGGGCAGGCAGGCAGGCAGACAAGTACACGGCGAAGCAAGAAGGACAGTGGAGGGAGGGAGGGAGAAGACTAGGGTTTCACAAAAAAAACAGAAGTAAAACAGAAAGCAAAATACAAAACAAAATACAAAACAAAACAAAACAAAGAGAGAGAGGAGAGTCCCTCCCTCCGTCCCTCCCTACGTCCCTTAACTTCACTTGCCCCGTCTCGTCTCGTCTCGTCACTGTTCTGTTCCGAGTCAGCCCTCCTCCTCCTCCCCTCCCTCCTCGGCGAAGTCCCTTTGTTCATGTCCCCCCCCCACCACCACCTTGCTTGCTTACTTGCTTGGTGGCTTCGTAGTCCGAGTAACGCTGAACAATCCCTATACACCCGCAACCTAACACTTCATTGACTCTACCATTCAAAAACTATATTATTGCTTCTTTTAAGGGTTTAGGGAACGCTTTTTTCACAGTTGTTAGCAATACGGTGATTCCAAAATTCAAAAATACATGAACTCTTCATTCATAGTCTTTACTACACCATAATGTTG